CCCCCCCCCGAAGGCCCGGGACGAAACGGGTTTTTCTCGGCCCCGAACGGAGCCGTTTTCGATTCGTCTAGGATTTAGAGTCGAGGACCGAACTTCGCTCCCTCCCCCCGGGCCGAGGGCGCCGAGCCCGGGCGCCGGAGGTCCGGGGCTCCGGTCGGTAGTTTCGGGCGCGCCTCCCCTCCAAGTTTCGTCGCCCGTTTGATTTGTCGCGGGGGTCAGCCGGAGGCCGCGCTTCCGCGCTCCGAGGTCGAAGATTACAAATGCAAGGTTTCCAGGCTCGGGCGCCACAGGTGCCCTCGCCTTCCCTTCAGCTCCGATAGCAAGGGTGATGGTTGAAGTTTGTGCACAGCATGCCAATGGCACGAGGCTGGATATAGTCCGGACTGTACTGTATCACAAAAAAATTACTGTCGTGTTTGGATCAGGTCCGCACTATACAAATCCTGTGCTGAATTTTTCCTCCAGATATATATACACTGTAGATCATGGGAGTGAGCTGTGATGAATTATTGTCGTGAACAATTTCCCGCAGATTTTTCAGCACTCACAGTTAAGACTTCCAACGCATTCGTTCGGTTGGGGTACTATGTCGAACGGGCAGTCTTGATTGCATTATAACATGTAGCTTCTAGTATGGACTGTAGACTGCATCCCTGAAGCACGCCGAGAGAGTCTCGTCCAGTCCTTTGCACTCGGAACTCGTTTCAATCTTCAAGGATTGCCGCGCTCAACCAAAGACTTGGTGTGTGCTCAAGGGTACGTGAATCACACAGGGCAGCCATGCTTGGTTGAAGCTTGGACACGACTTAAATGGAAGTGTGTATACGGCAGAGCCAACACAATCTACACACATATGTCTGAGCGGGAACGTGCGTCTACCTCTGCGTTTGTTGGGAGGCCATCGTGCCCAGAAAACGGCGAGCAGAACTGAAGAACAGGGAGGTGCTTGTTCTTGAAACGCTGTCGAAGGGAAACGACTCGCTGTGACACGCCTACATCTGCACGCCGCATGAAGGAGCAAAGGAAAGGCGGCCTAGCATAGGAAGAGCGATGTCGTGTTTGCGGGGGCGATCGCAGAAATCGTGGTCTGTTTCAGATGCGCACGCGGAACAACATTATTGATCGATCTGGTGGATCGACAAAAAGGGTTTGTACAGCCCCCCCTGGGAGTTTCTCCCCGACTTGAGAGTACTTTTCACGGACAAGCGATAATATCCAACACACGAAACAAGACGTGTAGAAAAACGAAACCATCACCAGGCTCAAATAGCCCCCCCCAAGGCATAAAACTGCCGTTCGTTTACCCTTGTTGTTTATCGTCTCTGTCCGTCCTTTCCTCGCTGCCGGCGTTGCCCCCGCTGCCACGGGCGAACGCTACACGAAAAAAAAACAAAAACAGGTGGACCAGAAGTTCAACAAAATGGTTTTAGACAGCATTCAGGGATCGCTGCCCGTTCGAGTGGGTAGCATGAACATGTGCTACCCGCCGTCCTTCTTCCGGTGGATCTGGATGGTCATCAGCACATTCCTGCACGAGTGAGCATGACAACCGCAATTGCTGCTTTTTGATATGTCTGTCTTGCTTGGTTGTGGTACTTTTTTTTACTTCCTTCTTCCGCTTGGCCGTGGCACTTTTGGTTGGCGCTTTCCCTTCTTCGTCGCTTTTTTTGCTTGAGATGTAGATATGGCATAGAAGAGAGGGGACGGCATGTGTCGAGACGGAGTGCTCAGGAATGCTCTCCAGTAGACGAGACTCAGTTTTCAAGGCCTTTCCTCTGTGGGGCGCGGAAAACCTGTGTTTCGCTGAGGGGCGAACCATCCAAGTCTGTCAGGAAAGCGCACGTCCTTCCTGGTATTGCCCAAGTCGAGACTTGCGGGGTTGTGCATCATCTCCGGCGGCGCTCAATTGCCTGAAAACGTCGGCTGTTGTAGAGCCAAGCTTATGTCTTAATTTCCTGTTTAGAGCCAAGGCGATGTCTTGATTTTTTCGAGGGACATTTCGCAAGCAGCTGCTAGTTGGCCCCGGCTCTTTACTGGCATTTGTGAAAATGGCCGTCGGTTGTCCCACCGGTTGGATCAACCCCCTGCCAATACAGCACCAACGGGCTTTGCTGCTCGGAGCTCAGCAGGCTGGTTCGGCACGTGAAGGTAGCTTGCGCAATACCATACCCTTGCGTCGTGCTTCCTTCCTGTGAGCATGGAGCACCGCCCTCACCACCAACGTAACATCTAGCGATACATGGCCCCCGCCGACGGTTCATCGGTCCCGTGGGGATAGTGCTCCGTCCTGTCGAGGACGCGCGGTCATTGGCCTAACAACTAAGACACGCGAAACATGAGCCCCCCCCCCCCCCCCCCCCCCCCCCCCCCCCCCCCCCCCCCCCCCCCCCCCCCCCC